CCGCTACAAGTGCATGGCTAATCTGCAACCGCAGAGCTGAGGGGGCCACCTGACTGAAGGGAAACCCTTCACTCTAATTTCAACTAGCAAATACAAATGGAAATGAGAAGATTTTTTTAGTATTCAATTCAGGGATGTCACATCAATATACTGATACTATAGCTTGGATATACTGTGCTGCAGCTTCATCTGTATATATTGTAGATTATATTGAGCTATACTTGGATGATATAAGGTGTAATAAGTGTCAGCCTCCTGTCAAAAACAAGTCTCGTCATGTATGAAATATTGATCTCAGTAAGGATCAGCTGCATACATCATGAATGCTTATAAAACTGTCAACATATGAACTGCAGTTAAAGCCATCACTGCTCAGAAGCTACGCTGGACAATAACATGCATGGACATATCGTGTGTGTGTGTGTGTATCGGGACATAAACATTGAGGGTCCCTCATAACTCACAAGAGTTGATTTTTATGTCGTCCGTAAGCAGAATAATGCTATCTTGTTTTATTCAGTCTATAAATCATGGCAGAACGCTCAGCCCTTTATTAGGCGGCAGAGGAGGGGGTAAACACAGCAGAGAACAAAAGCCAGAGCAGCGGCTCAATATGAAGGGAGACACAAAAGAAGTGCTCATAAGTATTCATATCACTCGCACTAGAGCAACAAGACCGCCTATTGTGGCTCTTTGATGCCACAGTTTTAATTCTGCTGTGCGAACACATGTTTATGTAATGCTGTGTTTAGATGCTCTCTCCCAGGTTGCAAGCTCACTTCTACTCTAATGTGAATAAGTTAGATGATCAGATCAGAAGCATGACGCCATATGGCCTGTTTGGCATCATTAGGGTAAAATATAAGAGTCATTATCCTTCTTCGTTTTGCCCAAAAGGAAGTCAATTATCCAATATCTAAAACATTTCACAACATGTTCATCTGTCTGGTGCAAATGGACAGTGATGTCAGTTCAAATGACCATTTCCTGCTTTTATGAGCAGTTTTTACGAGTTTGTGTTGCTCTTAAAAGCTATATTGCCATGTTTAATGTTTGTGGGAAGTTCAGTTTGTATATTAGCTGATGAAACCATTTCAACTTTGGGCCTATTAACTCACTCCTTCTGAAGCTTTCGACAGTGTCAGATGCTTTTCATCACTAGAGCGTATGCTTAGTTCTTATCAAATCAAAGAAACATGCACAATTTTAACAATTCCTTGACAAATGATGCCATGAATGAAGACTGTATGATATGGGCGAAAGCTAAATGGACCTAAGGCTGATGTTTGTCGTTTGGGGAAGAGCAATTTTTGAAGCAATATAATAAAATAAATTACCATTTTCATGTTCTTTGCTCTTACCTACATGACTGAGGTCAACAAATAGGGAAAGAGCAATGAGCACTGGTCACCAAAATAAAAGCATGAACACTGATGAAGACGCAGGTGAGAAAAAACAGAGGGTTGGGGGCGACCCTCCCACTAAATGGTGTCTGGACACTTTGTAGGCTTGAGGCATGGTGTTTTTATTTTCATGTTCTACAGTATAACATTGTGTACAACAAATGGAGTTAGTATGACCAGAGGACAACATGGGAGAAACAGAATGGGATATAGCACCTCCATTTCTCCACGTCCGTGTCCACAGCACCAAAATGCAAAAGGTATGCAAAGACAGACCTGGGCTGAGAATCTGTGAACGAACCCTCAATGCGGCGGCCATCTTTGAGCCATTGGTGATGAATGGACCCAAAGATGTTCTCAGTACAACAATGGACAGTCCAAAAACAAATCCCATAGTTTCAACAGAGATGGTAAGGTTTGAGAAATATGGCAGTAACTCTCTTTTGGAGGGTTTGGATTGACCCCAAACAAGGGTGTGAGATTAGCTTATATTGTCCAACTCTTACTACAAGCCATGAGATGGTGACAGCATATTTTAAAGTGAGCTGCCTAGAGATGCGGCCATTACAAATATCCAGCCTGAACCTCTGGATAACTGCTGTCGGGACTTGTTCCTGGACAGAATCTGATTGGCTGCCAGATTTTTCCACAGTTCAATGGAGGAGACGGTCCTAACACAAACATGAAGCACCACCGTGATGGAGAAAGAGCAGTGGGAAGTGCATGGAGTTAAAACAAAAAAACCGACATCAGCCACATCCAGCCAATGGCGGCCTCACCAACAAAAAACATCTTTAAACTCAAAAGCGTTGGTTTGTCAGCTGACAGAAACGCCACGGGCCGTTTGACAAAGGTGTGTGGAGCTCCTTGGGAGGAGCGAGAGTAACGCTGGAGGGTGGGGGGGGGGTGGGGGGGGGGGGGGGGGGGGGGGGGGGGGGGGGGGGGGGGGACAGGGCACAGTGCTCCAGTGGCAGCTACTTTGCCTGGGGCTCCTTCACATCCATACACAGGAGTGTGTCACTGCACACATGAGTGCAAACACACCCGAGATGTCAATCAAACTAATTGCAAGCGGGCCTGCATGGCAGCCAGAGAGGTGAATTGGAAATAAGATTTTAATCAACTGTGGATTTCGACCGCTTAGCAGCAGCGGCAGCAGGGGGGGGGGGGCTACAGGCTGCAGGTGGGTCACCCTGCCTGGGCTTCCCCCTAACGATAAAAAAAAACATGAAAACAAAATTCATAAACAGTATATGTAATCATTTATATATATATATGGAAAAAATATAAAACAAACAGCGAAACCAATGTCTTGTTTTGCTTTTGAAAATGTCAACATGTTTTTTCTTTTATATATAGATTTGTCTTTTCTTAAACGATAATACGTTCACAAAATACAATGGCAAAGCAGTTTGGAGATAATCTAAATATGTCTAACTGAAACATCAATGTAATAATAACATAGAAGAAGCACAATGATTTTTTTCAAGAGTGACTTAAGGCTATCCCTAAATTCAAAACAATAGTAGCCAGACAGGTTGACCGGCACATTTCCTCACATTGTCATACTTGAACCTGTCTTGTTCATAAGGTGGCAAATGTAATGACCGAGGTAACGGGTCATACACATGGAGCTTAGAGAAAATACAAGAATGACATGTATACATGAACACACAAAAACAAATAGAGACCAAATAGAAACGGCTGAGCAAACATAACAGAGCTACCATTTTACCATCAGGTGGGAAAAGACTGCACTGTGAAATGGGCGAGCGAGCGAGTTTATAGCTGGTGTTGGTTTCCAATCATTCTGGGGGAAAAAAGAATCTGTGTGTGACAGAACTGCCAATAAAGATTTGAGCATGCATTTGAGAAAATATTCAATAATGAAGAGAGTAAATGCAGAATCAGTATCACATATATAGTATATGTGTCTGTTCGTAGAAACAACATTTCAATCTATTTCAGTACACTGTAATAAAGTAGAGCGCGGCCCCGGGTGAAAAAGAGTTGGTCCATTATCACTACAGAGTGAACATCTGTAAACCTTTTTGGGCTTTGACAATTTATTTCCTGCCTGAGCCAACAAGGAGGCGGAAACTCAAATGAACACATTCAAAAGACAAATCAGACATTTTTACCTTTCCCACTCTCGACTTCTCAGTAACAATATTACGTGGCGGACTCTCCTAACAGCTGGAGTCAAAGCTTTGCTTGCATGTTGCCAAGTGAATAAAGTGTGCAGTGCACATTGAACAACAAGGAGTGACCTTATAAATAATTTCTCCAAAACTCTTAGAGCAAATAATGGGGGTAACCATATTCTGTGTGATCAAATGTTTGCTTTTAGTTGCTCTTATTTTCTTTTAGAAGTTGTAAATGAAAAGGGCTCGTGGAAGATAGTAACATTTTCACCTCAATAGCACCAAGTGCCCCGTGTCACACATACAGTGCAAGTGCCTCACTTTTGGTTTTCAGCCCTCCCCCTTTGGTTAACAGATGATCAAGATGCGCCTCTGCGGCGTCCGTAAACACAAAGATATGTTGTTTCCTTTAGGAAGGTGTAAAGGTTGGCTGAGGAGGAGGGCAGTCTGTCTCTCTGTGTGTGGTCAAAGGTGTTTATCTGTTTGTGGCCTCGCACGCTGACTCCATGCTTCCAGTGCTGTCAGGAAGCTTTTTTTAACACACTTTCTGCAGGTGGTAGGTAAACAGTCTTGGTTTTGCCCAAAAAAAGACATCAACAACAATAAACATGGTGAACACCTCAACAAAAACAAAGAAACAGAGAATAAGATACAGGAGTTTTTGGTTGCCAAGTGAAAGAGAGAAGCTATTGAGACTGTGCTGTTCTGTATAACTCCATGTGTCAGCTGCTGGTTGTTGCTTTCTTTAGAATCACATCCCTGATAAAGCAAAGGAAATGAATCAACTGGATCAAAAGTGACATAGAAAACTGATTGAGTGTGAATACCTGTGTTTGTTTGTGTGTGTGTGAACGCATGGTCCATCTGCTTTCCCTGACTGTCAATCCTATCTTTTTTTGCATTGCTCATTCACCATGTGTGTGTCTCTCTTCCTCTCTTCCTCTCCACATGTCAGCCGGCCCTCTCGGCTCGGTCGTACATTCCCAGCGGCTGTCAGGAGCGAAGAGCAGGTGAGGAGCCGGTAGAGAGGCTGGGATGTCGGTGATAAAAGATCCCCTCAAAAGGTCCAGAAATAAAAGAAGACACGAACAAGTCTAAGGGAGAACAAAAACTGCGAGCTTTACCGCCATGCTTTCACGTTCTTCAAAAATGGCAGCAAAGAGGCCCAATCTTCTTTTGGATAAAAAAGTGAAGATTCTTTTCTTTTACTAAAACACACTCCTTCTTTGACTTTCCATTTAAAAACCAGAGCTTTACAAAACATAGAAAGATGCAACACTGAACCCAACATAAAAAACAGGAAACATCGTTAGATTTATATTTTCTTTAAACTGTTTAGCTGCATTGGGGTTTCCCAAAACTGGGAATGGTGGGAATGGCGAGGACGGAAATGTGAAAGGTGACTCCGCTTTGGTCCCTTCCCCAGCTGGAGTTCAGTTGAGCTTAGGGGGGAGGGGGGGGGCGGGGTGGGGCACAGGGGCAGAGCCAGAGTTTGACGGACAGTTGCGATTTTGAGCTGAAGAAAACCAAATGCATGCAAAACGATGCCCCTCCCCCTTTTCTCTGGCCAAAGGCAGCCGTGCACGTTGGCGTGGCGCTTTGCTGTTGGTGAGGAACGTTCAGTCGGTGAATCTCTGGCAGGCTTTCTTCCAGCGGCAGGCGGTGCACCACATGTCGCGGTTCTCCATCCCGTACACCTTACGGCACTTCTTCCCCTCACCGCGCACCTTCCGACTGAGAGGGAGAAGTGGATACATTATAAATCATCATCTGTTTAAATGATCAAGTGCACTATCATTCAAAAGACCAGTGGTAAAAAAAACATTCCTTTTTAAAACATTGAAATCAAATTGTTAGAATACTAAAATACACTCTTTTGTGCTTTTTCGTTAAGAGCAACATGAGATGATCACTCCCTTTGTACAGAGCCAGGCTAACTGTGTCCATCTGTTTCAAGTCTTTATGCTAAGCTAAGCTAACCAGTTGCTTGCTGCATGAGAGTTGTCATCACACTTCTTATGTGACTCAAGAAAGCATATAATAGTTGCATTTCTCAAAATGTCAAACTATTCTCCTATGTTTTGCCTTTTCTAATTGCAGCTAAACGCCCGTCAACAAACAACAAGGTTGTGATGTGTTAAAAAGGAAACAACACATAAATCATACAATCTAGAGTGGATTTGGATCAGAGGCTGAACCGAGCTGATTCATCAAGACTTCTTTTTAATTAAGAGTCATTGAGCTGAGAGTAAATATGTTAGATTATTTTCACTCAGTAAGGTTGAAATAGAGAATTAGCTTAGGTATGCGTTGTCTATGGTCATATTTATTATGAGCTTTCGGATTGTTTGGCTTTAAAGCTAAAAAAGGAAATGTCAGGTAAGAGGATCGGGTACCTGAGAGCGGTGGTGGCTCTGGGCGGGGACGAGAGGACGGCGATGGTTTGGGAGCGCTGTTCACCGAAGCCCTGGCTCTTACTGGGGGACACCTGGAGGGGGCAGAAAAAAATGATGTATTATAAGAGTCCAAATGTAACTGTGCATGTGGCTGAGAATAAATGTTTAAGTTACTCACCGTGGAGCCGGTGAAAGTGACGGGCGGTGACTGCCAGGAGATGCTGAAGTTGGAGCTGTTGGTGGGGGTGAAGCTGGTGCAGGCCGACCCGCTGGAGTTACTGTTGCTGGACGGGATGGACACTGGAGCTGTGGCCTGAGGGGGGAGGACAAAGGAGGAAATGGTGAGATTTTCTACCTAAAACGATCTATTAGCAGCATTTTATATGGCCTATCAGAAGCCTTCCTCATTCTCAATGTCATGATCTGTCTGTTTTATTTTGAAAAGTCTTCCCCCCCTGTGTTAGGTCTGTTTCTACTGTCTCTGTGTTCTCCCTCCCCCTGTTTGATTACCTGATTCTGTTCCCCTGGCGATGCTCCTGCCCAGCTGTGTCCTTGTGATTATTTCTGCATGTATTTAAGTTCTGTTTGTCTGTCAGTGTTTGTCGGATCCTTGTTTGTTGTATGTCATTTTTGGAGAGTTTTGTTCTGTTTTTGTCTATTGAAGAGATTAGTTACGTTTGGCTTCCCTTACCCTGCACTCTTCTTCAGGATTGATTTATAAAAAAAATATTTACTTTTGCCAAGATACTTTGTGTCCTGCACTTGGGTCCTACCTGCTCTGCTCCCAACCCTGATCTTGTTGTGCCCTTTCACGATCAACTAATTGTGAGCGTTTTAACCCAGATCCATGTTAAAATTCTATATTGTCATTGTCACATCTCTTGGTGTGATACTCCCTCTGCTCTCCACTCACCTGGTAGGCGTGGTCCGTGTGGATGAGGTAGAGAGCACTGGGCGCAGAGCGGCTGAGGGGGGTGGTTCCTCCGGGGTGAGGCTCCTTGGCGTCAGAGGACTGCGGAGGTCTGTGGGAGTCCGACAGCTGGTTGAATGACGGGAGAGGAGAGGGGGGAGGAGGAACAGGGGAGAGGATGGACGGGGACACGGGGGACAGGCTGCTCAGCCCGTCCGCCACCGAGTCCGTGTTGAGCTTGATCTCCGAGTAGTAGAAGTCCTCTTCTCCGTCACTGCAGTCCGAGTCACAGTTACGCCTGCAGACAGAGAGAGGGAGGGTGGGGGGTGGAGAGGGGCAATGAAACATATTGATAAAACAAGACAGTTTTATTTGTAAAGGACGTTTAATACAAAGAGGCAGACTCAAGGTGCTATACAGAGAGAAAACAACGACGTTTCACTGGCAATGGTTGCAGCTTTCCAAAGTTAAATTAAAGCAGAATATCCTTTGAATGCTAATAACTGCTCATGTCCAACACAACTTGTCAAAGCATCACACAACCGCTGAGCTCTCTTCAACATTAATGTCAGTTTTCCAAAAACACAATCATCTGCAGTTAATGAGTGTAGATCCTCAGTTTAATTGAATGTCAGTGTAAATGTGTGATTCCTCCGATATCATTGTTCTCCGCCTCCACCCTCACTCCCAGAGCTCAAAGTGTTACCGTGGTGATAATCCATCAGCCATTAATCTGCTGTTTTGACAATGAAGCTGGCTTGGGTAGTGGAGTGTAGTTTAGGGAGGCAATGTGTGTGTGTGTGTGTGTGTGTGTGTGTGTGTGTGTGTGTGTGTGTGTGTGTGTGTGTGTGTGTGTGTGTGTGTGTGTGTGTGTGTGTGTGTGTGTGTGTGTGTGTGTGTGTGTGTGTGTGGTGTGTGTGTGTGTGTGTGTGTGTGTGTGTGTGTGTGTGTGTGTGTGTGTGTGTGTGTGTGTGTGTGTGTGTGTGTGTGTCTCACCCCAGGTGGATGGTGCGGATGTGTCTCTGGATGCCCGCGGCGGTACTCAGCACTTTGCCACAGTTCTTCCACAGGCACTTGAACATCACCTTCATTGAGTTCTGAAACAGGAAACAGTACAGTTACAGTGAAAAACACAGCAGCTCATAAAGGGGTACGTGTTGACAGAAATATGTGGTGCGTAGAGCAACAGTTGCTAACTTACACAGTATAACATCTGGGTTTGTATGTGGCTATACTATTGACTTTATAACAACATTCCTATCATCTCAAGGAGTCAAACATGTGCAGATTGACTCCTTGACTTGAGGATATTTTCTCCTGATATATGCATATACTCACTCAATCATTTAATTAAATCTATGTATACACTACAGGAGGTGTGATAGAGGTGGTATTTCCCTCCAGGGTTGGTCAACCACCCTAAAGTACATCATTATAATTATATTTCCTCCTCATTATCAGGCATATAGGAAAAAAGCTTCTCAAGTAACTGCATAACAGCATTGCTGAAAATACATTTGTCTCACCTACTGGAGGTTATAAGCAGTCAGTTAATTATTATATAAGATCTTTAAAATGGCAGCATCTGTGACACGTGACATATGATGAAAACTATGGCTATCATAGTCGGTGTTATCCTGTCATACGCTAATGTACAGTTAATGAAATGTATGACTGTAGCTCCATCAAAAAGCTTTAAGTGACACATATCAGCTCAATTGCATTTTATCCAAGCTTAAACTGATTGTTCTATTATTAAAAAAAGTGGATTCTTTTTTTGTTATGCTGTCAAACTTCACTTTAGTAAAAGCAGTACATTTTGACTTGATACTAACACAAATAAATACAAATAAAACTGTTCTCCTTCATCTTGGTTATAGATGTATTTTTTCTTTGTGTGGAGCTAGTCTGAAAACACATTTTTCTAGGAGCTGAGTAAGGAAGAAAGACAGTAGATTTCTCTCTGGTTGTGAGCTGGCGGGCTACCGTATCATTTTCTCTGTGTACTGTAATTACAGCGCAGGCGTCCTAAGAGACTGTATATTGTTTTGAATGGAGTGATAAGCCCCATGTGCTTCTCCCTCCTGCCTCCCCGCTCTGAGCCATTATAAATGGTCTCATAGGCCTGTCCATCAAACTATTGTTAAGGAGGCTGATTTCATTTGGACAATATGTTTTTTTTCTTTCTTAAATTTTCCTCCTCTTTTCAGAAACACACGCATATCAACAATTCTCTGTCTCCCCCTCCTCCCCCCCCCCCCCCATGTGCATTGTTTTGTCTCCGGGTAACAAAGTCTGTTATTGTGTGGTGGTGAGTGTGAGTTATTCCCTTTAAAAGAAGCATTTCATAGTTAATTAAATAGTGACATCCAAATGTGTTGCCTTGCCAAGAGAGAAGAGAGAGCACCAGAGGAGTGTGTTGATCATTTAATGTGAAACCTTGGCATTGCACAAAGAGCATGTGTGTGTGTGTGTGTGTGTGTGCGTGTGTTTATGTAAGTCATCGACATCGTTATCCAATTATTAAGAAATCTTTTTTTGTCTCATTCTCAGTTCAGTTATTCCTATTAGTCCCCTTTAATTCTTTATCCATAACCTTTCTTTGGCTCTGATTTGCTCTCCTTTCCACTTTGAAATGTCTCTCTCTCTCTCTCTCTCTCTCTCTCTCTCTCTCTCTCTCTCTCTCTCTCGTTGGTCGTCTTTGTGATAAGTCCCCAATTACTACAGTACGATGTTGAGCTCACCCCAGGGTCTATATCGATTTTTAGTCAAGACGTGAGGACAGCAGGATCTTTGTGTTTGCTGTGGCGGGTATTAAAATCATTACTGCCGTTATGGAGCGGCTGCACGTGAAGGCTAAGAAGTCATTATGAAGGGCAAATGTCCAGAGAGGACACACACTCACACACACTGACAGTACGAGGAGAGAGGGCGGTCGAAACATGGGCGAGAGCAGGAGAGGAAGTGGGGGAAGGAAGGAGGAGTGAGAAGGAAAGGAGGGATAGATAGATGGATGATACTGACAGAAAACGACCAACCGGCAAGTAGGAGTGCTGAGAAGCAGAGAGAGAGATAAAGAGGGAGAGCAAAGCAATATACATCTGAAAAAATAATGAGTGACACTGAGCTGTCAGTGGTGTGTAGAAATGAGACGAGGCAAAATGATGAGTGAGAAAAAAAACAATGTGTGTGTGTGTGTTGTGTTTAGGGGCAACAAGGACGAAACCACCGCTGGAGCAGAAAGGCTGAGCGTCCTTTCCTGTCCCATTTTCATCTCTGCCAATCAGTCAGAGAGTCTAACCTCAGAGGTTATTATCAGTGTGTGGAAGGAGGGAATCAAGCAGCTAGTGTACATCTGACATCTTCTTATTTAGAGATCTGCCTGCTATCAGGAGAGCTGCTGCCTTTCTCTTCTAAACCCCTTAATATGTGACTCCGCTCTGAAAGAAAAGGAAATTCTTGCAGTACTCTTGCGACTTTTTATAATCCTTCTAAGGCGCATAAGGTCATGATCACAGAGCAATTTCTTATTTCCTAGAAACTACGAGGGCTCAGGAATTGACTGGGCAATTTAATTGGAGCTTTCGGGCCTGAGAGGAAATGGCTTTTCAAAATAACTCTTTGAAAAGCTGCTTAGACCTTGTCCATAACAAGATGGCTTTATCTTAAAATGCATCTTTCTCTCTGCTTTGGCCTTTCTTCCACAATAAACTATTACTCACACTGAATCTTTCAATCCCCAGACTAAATAATAAAGAAACACTGGTTTTGGTGAGTACAGAGGGACAGAGCTTATCTGCTTAACATAGGATGGGGCTGTTATGAAGTTATGAAGAACTTTCGGTTGGATTGAACTCACTGTGATCATTTGATACGTAAACATAGTTGATCAATCTGTGTCTGTTGACTAATTGTACAACTATGTTTCGTGTGGAGTGTTTCAGAAAAGACTAAACTAAGCTTATAACAGTGATTTGTTTGACGTCTCACTGCTTCAGTGCTGGTTAATACGTGGCATTCAAACTGATTCAATTCTTATTTTGTAACAGAAACAAAAAAACATGTCAATAAGCAGAACTAAATCCAGATTTTGGCTGTGAATAGGCGACAAAACAACGTTTTAACCAGCTGAGTTTTGGTGGAGAAAGCTGTTCCGCTTTATACCAGACGATGGCCATCATGACCAATTTAATGTTTGTCAAACAAAAGAAGAGATGAAACTGTTTTCTTACTGTCTGATGTTTCAAATGTTCTTAAATATGAGCAATAAACACATTTCTTCTTGTGTTTGCCTATTTGTTTTTTAATAGTAAAAATGCCTTTATCTATTTGTCGATGGAGATTAGTTTTTAGCGCTAAGAAAGAGAACTGGCCTTTTCTTCCCAGCCTTTTAACTTAGATGTTGTCTGCAGTATTCACCTTGCGCTTGCGAGGGATGGGCTCATCGAAGAGCAGGCTGCTGCCGTCCTGATCGTCCAGGCTGGGGTCTTCAGGCCCCGCGGGGCCGTTCCCCACACCCCCCAGGCTGGGCACACGGAAAGGCTTGAAGCTGTCTGCGGAGAGCGGGGGTGAGGGTGTGGAGGGGTTGGACTGGTCACTGGGGGCAGACCAGCTCCAGTAGCCCCCAGAGGAGCTGTTACTGGAGGGGGTGAAGGGGCCAGCGGAGCCGTTGTCTTTCCACGAACCACTCAGACCTTCTAAACAGAGGGGGGGGGGGGGGGACAGGGGGGGGGGGACAGGAAGTAATGTAAATCCTGAGAGGAAATCAAACAGCAAATCTAACTGCTTTATTCATATTTGTAGATGATACATTCACAGAACCTGTGTGATAGACTGTCAGTGATCAAGTCATTCAATTAAGTTCAGACAGCTTTATTTGCACTTCACACAAAGAGCCTACCAGAACTCCTGCTGTGTGCGACACTAGAAAAAAAGAAAAGTTACTTGGTTCCGCCGAGACACTTCCAAGGTCTTGTTTTTCCAGATCAAAGACATTTTTCTTTTGAATATCAGCAACAAAATACATTTCACTTTGTAAAGGTTGAGGCTGGGGGAAACTTTAAAGTGTGTACTTTAGTGTGTGTGAGAAAGTTAGGTGTTTGTTTAGATGGATGTTAGTCAAAGAGAATAAGAGTATATAGTTTGATAGGCTTGGTGAAGATAAGAATGCTTCTCTGATCTGCTCTTTTTTCTTTTGTTATTTTTATATTAGAAAACATCTTTCAATGAGAGTTAGAAGGCAACTGAACAATCACACTGTATGTTGGATTATGGGTGAACCATGATGCTAGGCATGGTACACGATACATGAGAACTAACTGTGTGTACCGATGTAAATGCACATTGTATGATATCTAGCTTGTATACATTGGTGTGACATGTGTATGACTACATTAAGATAAAAGAGTACAGTTGGTATTTAAAATCCACTTTGTGCATGATGTATGTGATGTACATTTAACATCTGACTGCCTGTGTGTGTGTGTGTGTGTGTGTGTGGTGTGTGTGTGTGTGTGTGTGTGTGTGTGTGTGTGTGTGTGTGTGTGTGTGTGTGTGTGTGTGTGTGCGCGTGTGCGTGTGCGTGTGTGTGTGTGTGTGACTGTGACTGTGATAACATGTGCATGGTGGTTGGAGGGTTGGCTGCATGGTTGAATGTTCAGTGGTTACACAGACTAACTGAGCGGTTGCATGTGATTGCAGTTAAGGGGCACTTTGGATTCCCGCCACCGTGTAGGGTGGCAGAGATCCAGATTCTTTGTGCTTTTTTTGTACATTTCCACAACTCATTGATGAGAGAATCCTATGGCACAGCAGGTGGCAGTCATTTATCAATCTAAGCGTCTACTCTACATGCATTCACATGATAACAGCTGTGGGGGAATGAGAAGTCAGCGTACGGCAAAACATGCTAATAAAAGAATTTGGCTGCGCTACTTTTTTCATGGGGTCATAAAGGTCTGGTACGAAAGAAATGACACATCAAAGCCAAAGATGTATTTGAAGCTGTGAAGTTTAAATCATATTGTATTCGTCAAAACTCAAAAAGATGTCTCCCACTTATTGGGCGAGTTAACAGCTGAGAAACTCACCGTTGACTTTGAAAGGCGGACTCCTGACCAGCGGGCTGGTGGAGAGACTCGTCAACACCATGGCAGCGGTCACCTTGTCCATGTCCACCTCCTCCTCCTCCGACCGTCTGTGAACACAGGAGAAAAAGAGTTAGATATTACTGAGCATCTTCTGCCACCAACCTCAGAGTCAATTGAAGCAACTTTGTACTACTGGCGGATAAATAGCAGCTATTTTTCCTTATCGCACTAATACATAATAACCATAACCTATTTTATTGTGCATGCCCAATATAAATGATGTAGCTAAAGAACACGGTGTGTGTCTTCTTTTCCCTCCAGATGTTTTCAGACAAAGCCAGGCCACTCTGCTTTGCATTTTGGTGCGATGACTGTCTCGGCTGCTAATTGCATTTACGTTTTTTTTTCAGTTAGTTGTGTTGCCTCAGAGGAGCACTGTAACTCTGCAGTTAAAGTTAAGGACAGACTCAAAGTTAGCATTAATCAATAATTTCCTTGTGAATACATTTTACATTTTAACACTAATGGGAGAGCTATTAAAAGTGTATTAACTTGCATTTACGTTTTTTTTCTTATTTGATTTTCTTTGAGGGAGACTGGCGCAATTGACCAGACACTATTGGTCAAATCAACAGCCAACAGCTGAAATGCTGCTGTATACAAATATATTTTTGAAACTAATCTAGACTGATGTGGGTCTTACTTTCAAACCCTAAAGCCTGTGCAATTAACACAAGCTCAGTGGCTGTACAGTACACACAGCAGCCAATCCATACAACAGGCTAAACACACACTGCACACATATTTGTCTCTTCTAATTGGCAAGAGGCAAACGTGCACTAGAAGTAGGTGTCTTAATCCTCCCGCATGTATTCCTCAGAGAGGCAATCCCTGTGTGTGTGTGTGTGTGTGTGTGTTTCCTGAGTAAGTAAGACTTTGATAGTGTGTAAAGCCACATGATCAAAGTCAGTATGTTACAATGATGAAATCTCCTGCTGCCTTGGAAAAACATGACATCAGCCATCATTTATTTTTCAGACTTATTCTGCATCTTAATTGGTATAAATCCAGTACAGGCAACACATATATTGAAATAAACAACCTATTTTTGACTTTCATAATACCTGCCAAACCAAAATAAAAGAACTTTTAGAAGTGATTGAATAAAGGATTGTACAAGTTATGTGAAATCTGTGAGATGATGCAACAGTCAGCACTTGTGTCTGTGTACAGTTCAGGGCACACTGTTCATATTCATGCATTTTCTCTGCTATCTGATCTCAGTTTCATGCACAGGCGAGCAAAAAGAAATCCAGCCCAAATGATAATTCAATCCTTAGAGTTCAGTACAAAATCTACATTAGATAATGTTCCTCTTACATGTGGGCTATTTATCAGTGTAGATTGTTTTGGTGTTAGTTGCCAACAGTGGTAAATATCGTCTAGCTTGTCTCTATATAATTGCATAACATGGATATTGGCTTGTGGTGCAACTCACATTTAAACAATCTAGATGGATACATATCACTACAGGTAAGAGGAAAAATCTGGATTTTCTTTTTGAAGTTAATTGTCCCTTTCAATGTAACTAAATTAAAAGTAATACAATTATATAAAAACTAGGAAAGTGGCCAGAAAAGTAACCAGTGATGAGGACCACAGGTTTTGTCACAATAGGGCTTCAGTTGTGATCACTACAGTCACTGCATCAGTACTGTAATGCAGTAAAAACAACATATGACCGCATGCTAAAACATGCAAAAGGCTTCAGAGTCATGTTCAGTTTAATTTCTGGTAAACCATCCCACTGTAAAGCATGAAAGACATGTAATGACTTTCACTTGGTCAACAATTCGCACCCTTACAGGATGTGACCAAAGCAAACAGTACGACCACAAGCTACAGGAGAGGCTTTACAACAGCAACAGTGTTAAACGTGGTGAGAGGCCGGAAGTGACTCTCCATGTTTATTTTTAGAACGGCTTTCAGGCACAGATGCTCCCCGTCCAAGATGACCGGGGTTAAGCAAATCTGAGGGGAGAGAAAGAAAATCCCCAAATCCACATGTGACACTAAAATAACACAGATGTGTTTAAGATGGCTTGGAGGACTCAAAGCTGACAAGCGTTATTACACAAACCAGTGACTAATGAGGCATTTCTGACTCGAAGAGGACACATGATTACGTTTTCTGTGGAGATGAAGATAAAACTAATTGTACTGCCGTATTTTTTATGAAACAGGTTTCGTCTAAAACAAACTGAATTTAGCCATGCTCCTATGAGAAACCTCCCTTTTAACAAAGTCTCTTAAGCAAAAGGACGGATTTTTTTTTTCTCTCTCTTTAACCGCTCCTTGGCACAAGTTGACACCCCTTTTAGATGTTGATACATACTTACTTGTTATTTTCACCACAAATGATTTGTTCTTATTGTGAAAATGTTCATTGTTTGTTTTTTAATGAGTAGCTTGCAGAGCTGACATGTTGAAAGCTCGGCCAAACAGCCAGTCGCCTTTAATTAAATGGAGACTGTTTGTGAGACAATATTTATTACAAATGGGTTTATCTGTGGTCTTGACATTTGAAGTAACCCAGTTACGTTGCAGCTCAATGGAGCAGTTAGTTGTGTTGCCTCAGAGGAGCACTGTAACTCTGCAGTTAAAGTTAAGAACAGACTCAAAGTTAGCATTAATCAATAATTTCCTTGTGAATACATTTTACATTTTAACACTAATGGGAGAGCTATTAAAAGTGTATTAACTTAGGAGGGAGAGGAGTGTTTTCCCAATGGTTTTGAGAGCGAACAAAGAAAGAGCCCCCGCCTCCATTAGCTGATGTGTAATTTATTACCCTTTCCACTGTTGAATATGATGTCATTACAGCCTCTACATAAATCAAGAAACGAAGCTGCACACAAAACTGCCACTTTCACACATAACCCCCCACCCAACGTCGCCGTAAAAACCACTTCCTGGTCACCTTGGGAGGCCGTCATGTGACTTTAGATATTATCTCCATGGCAACAGTGACTGACAATAATTACTGGGTGCTTTGTCTGTCTGGAAATATGAAATAGTAAATCTTAGAAAAACACATTAGGAGGAATAGCAATTAAGATGTGATGTATGAGAGGGAGAGGAAGATAGAGTGGGAAGGGGTATTCCCCCAAATCACATTTCACATTAGTGGTCTTCTTATCAAAGTTAGTTTGGGCCAAGTGCTTATTAGAGCTAATTACCACACGCCAAGAGTGTGTGTGTGTGTGTGTGTGTGTGTGTGTGTGTGTGTGTGTGTGTGTGTGTGTGTGTGTGTGTGTGTGTGTGTGTGTGTGTGTTGGAGAGACGCATGATAAGAGGCATGATACACGCGACACAGGGGACATAGGGACAGCTAATGGATGGGTAAGTGAATTCTGATAAATGAGTTTCATATGTTAGCTTGTTTGTGTGTCGCTGCATGTGACACAGCGTGTGTGTGTTTTGATATTCTTACTTCACTAACTAGCAATAAAACATCTTCCAATAGCGGACCCCTGAGGCTTTGTAAATGCAACATGATCGTGTTTGTTTAGCTCCATCAGAAGAAAGCCAGAGAGCAAGCGAAGAGCTTGTTTGCTAATGCACATTACATGAAACAGATCCATATCGTTTTATCTTGCTGCTGGCTATTCATAAATGGATCATTAGTTTATCTTCAAAGGCCAAACTAAATATTATTGTAGATGTATTCTCATTTTAAAATTGAAACCTAAAAAGGCCAATTACCTTTCTTCTTTATTTATCATATATTTTGTTCAAGCATCAACAATGTACACCTGGCATTCACAGAGCATTCAATTATATCAACTTTTTCAATAAATACAGCAATAATGCACCATCCACACTTTTATGGAGATACACATGGTGCTATGGACATTTGGAAAATAGGTTTTCAATTAAAAACGTTAATACAAATATTAAAAGGCAATTATAGCTGCAATTGATGTATAACTTTCCCTGTTGATTAATCAGCCTATTATTTCTCCTTTAATTTATTCATTTTTTTGACTTAGATACGAAATGAATGCAAGCAAAGGTGGGACTGAGCAGGTAAACATGGGCTTTTCTCAATTACTGTAACTATGTAGAAGCTACAACTTAGTACCTTTAGTGATAAAATCATGAACACATTTTGAACACAGCAAAATACAAAACTACAGGAGTTAAGATTAGATAGACGAATAGGGATTCATTCATGTGGGGGAATATGAAGATACAAGTAAAACAACAGCTCCCTCTTCAGGGGTTCTGATGAGCTTAGTGGGAGATATGGATGTTTGCCAGCCTGCCAACGAAGGTGTGTGTGTGTGTGTGTGTGTGTGTGTGTGTGTGTGTGTGTGTGTGTGTGTGTGTGTGTGTGTGTGTGTGTTGTGTGTGTGTGTTGAGGGGGGGGGGGGGGCAGATGTGCTCCATTTTCTTTTAGGTACCACAAGTGAATTTAACAAAACAAAGAGCCTGCATGTGATCGAGAAAGACAGAAGGACGGCAGGGTGTGTGTGTGATTGTCTGTGTGTGTGTGTGTGTGTGTGTCTGTGTGTGTGTGTGTGTGTGTGTGTGATTGTCTGTGTGTGTGTGAGTGTGTGTATGTGGTAAAGTCTTCACCACCATTATAGGGGACAAGCAGGTTCAAGTTTCAAACTAAACACTGGGCAGGCAGTGAGACAATAACAGGGGTTCAAGTTACTGTGGTTGGTTTGACAGGTAGATGTGAGCCAATGAAATGTTGGACTGTTTCTTTATTTTTCATCACATTTTAACTTCAGTTAAAAAAAAGAAACAAGGTGAAATGATAACTTCTTTAAAAGAAAGAAAATGGAAACCTCTTTCTTTACAAATGTTTTTTCTGGATGGTAAATACATACATAACTTCTGTCTCTGTTTCTAAGACATGAGAGGCGCCAACTCATATCCTTACCCAGGAATACAACACTTAAAGTCCCACATTGACTATTTCCAAATATAAATGCCTAAAAAAAGAATTTAAAGATTCCCTAGACTACAGTGAAGTGAAACCACAGCACATATCTTGCCAGTACAATAACTTAAAACTACTTTCCTGGAAAACATT